TTTAAACTTTAAGGAAGTTTTTTTTTCTCACTGCCTTTGGCAGGCCTGCCGATAGGCATGTTATGGCTGCTTCGTAGCTGTTGGCTTCCCCTTCCAGGGTCTGTTGCCTGCATGCTCGAGCTGACATTTATGGAGTGGCTGGGGGGGGGTGGGGGGGGGGGGGGGGGGCTGGCTGCGTCGCCTGGCCTTGCCGGGCACGGGAGGAGGCCCCGTTTCAGTCAGGCGTGGGGGTCTGAGGCGATGCGGGCCCGGGTCCCCCTTACGGCAGCCAGCCTCCCTCGGGGTGGGGGATCCGCCTCTGTTTTCCTCAGGCAAAGGCCGCGAAACTTTTCGAGGCTTAGTGTGCTATGCAGAGGTGAAGTGGGGACTTGCCAACTTCATCGGGCCTCTCGCTGATAATTTTGTGGCCACCTCTAAGCGGTCACAAGTGATTAGGACGGGAAAAAAAAAAAAACAACTTTTCACACCCCCATTTAAGGAAATGTAGTATTTCATGTCCCAAAATTAAATATTATTTGCATGGGAGTACTGTGAGATCAAAATCGTAAAGTGGGTGAGGAAAAGTGCTTAAGGCTCCCCCCTGGGAAAGGAACACTTTCTGACATGAAGACCTTCCAATAAAATAGGAAAGAGGTACCTTTTACTGAAGATTTTATCAGATAGTATTAATTTTGAAAAACAACTTTATTAATACTTAATGAGACTCCTACTTTCCTACTCACTGGATGAAACCTTTCCTATTCAAATGGTTCTATGCTCAAGCATATCCTGGAGGACCGAACAACTTACTTGGAATTTTTTTTTCTTTGAACAAAATCTCTTTTGAACAGTCTTCTAGACTGCTTGCCATGATGCAACACAACTGGTTTTTTGCCTGTAGCAGAACTTGGGCCTGAAATATTTTTCCTGAAGAGTTCCTGAAGGAAGGTGTTCTTCATTTGAATTGACTGCATTGTTGTTTGGTCTTAACATATTAAATTTCTTCCAATTTTTCTGATTTTCATGTGTTGTGATATTAAGTCAATATTTAAATATTGGTCAGCATTTGGAGCTGGGGTAGCTTAAGGATATGGGGGAAGTTCTTGTTTCTGTCCCTCACCAAGACAGTGGTACGAGTGAATTCTTTTGCTGAGAATTCCAGCGCTTCACATGAATCGCCTCATGTAGACCACGGAGGCTTCTTAGGATTCAGTATCTGGCAGTCACTGTTAGCTAAATTGTCCTGTAGTTGATTCGGTCAGATCAACAACAACTGGCATGAATTCACTGACACTGATTTGGTTTAATAGTATCACTCAAGCATAACTAAAGCGAGACCATCAAATGATGTGGGAATAGGAAAGCAAAATATCAAGTGAAATATATGAATTAAAAATTCAGAATTACTTATCTAGATCATCATTAATAATGAAACATACAGGCATTTGGTTTGAATAAAAAATGAATTAAATTAATGTCATTTAAAAGAAAATAATTTGTTGGTGTGATGAATGTCCTTTCTGTGTTTTTTAGAGTTTTCACCTCTGTACTTGTGTCCATTCACTTGTCTTCTCTAATTCTCAGGGGTATTTATCCTCTGTAGTGCTGACCGGGAGCAGTTTGGTACCTGTTCACAATTTAAAGAACATTCTATATCTTTACAGATTTGCTCTATACTGCCTCATTTCTCCAGCCATTGACTTAGCTGTTTAGATTGCAGACTCTTGCAGGAAGCTCTGTGACCCAGTCTTGTTTGAGACCTGCAGGTGTTACCACTGTGTTAGTAATTAATACCAACAGTAATAGTGAGCTTTTGCTTAACCACAGGAGGAAAAACTTCTGAGCTGATTTTTGTGATTTGGGTTTTCCTCTATTAGATCTTTATTTTTAAATATAAGTCCTACTTGCTTTGTTTGTTTGTTATTCATTCATAAATAGGCACGTATTACATCAGACTGTTATGACATTCTCTTTTTAAGAGTAGATTTCCATTTTGTACTGAAATGAGATGTCCAAATCATGTATAAATTATTAATAGTGTAATTATATAGTTTTTCTTCTGTATGTGTTGTAAACATTTGTCCCCTTCTTAGTTTTTCACTTATTTTTCTTTGGTATCCAGGGACAATCAAACTAGACAAATACAAGATGCTGTTTCAAATGTGGAAAAACATTTTGGTGAATTGTGCCAGATATTTGCTGCATATGTACGCAAAACTGCCAGACTACGAGACAAAGCAGATCTTCTAGTAAATGAAGTATATGCATATGCAGCCACAGAGACACCAAACTTAAAAGTTGGACTGAAAAACTTTGCAGATGAATTTTCCAGACTTCAGGATTATCGCCAGGCAGAGGTACAAAATTAAAGCTCTACATGTTGTGTTTGCCATCTGAACTTTTCGGTTACTTATCTGTGATTAAAAGGGAAAAGATATACTCTGCAATCATGAGAGAAACATAGGAGAAAACAGTTTTAAATTTATTAGTGGCAGAGCAGGATAGGCTGCAAAAGCGTTCGTTATTTACTTTGCTAATAACTTTAGTGAAAACTGCCTGTGATTAGTCCTGTTGAAGTCAGTGAAACTATCTGTATGAGCACTCACAGAATTTGAGACAGAGCAAGTCTTTCGTTGGTCTTAGACTTTGGATTATGATTTATGGTTAATAAAGTGTTCTTTTAGTTTTGTGACTTGAGTTGTCTAGCAGCGGCTGAGGTAAAATCAGTCATTTTCCTTTTGCCAAGTCTGTTATCAGAAGCAGTATGGAAGAGAATACTAACTGGAATCCTTCTCTGGGCACTGTCAGCCCCTCTGAGGTGCTGTCGGGAACCACTGTAGATTTCATAAGTCTGTAGTTCAACACTAAAAGTACAAACTTGATTTGGACCACGTGTGACAGTGTAGTCACATTTCTGCTAGGTAAGTGAGAGTATAAAGAAAGGTGTTTATGCCGCTTACGCATACGTGTGCAGGGCCAGTCAAAAGTCAAACTGTAACATGATCCAGAATTCCAAATGCTAAGATTTAAGAAAAAATAAATTCATCCACATGTACTCAAACTAGTTTTTGGAGTACGTCTCTATTCTTTCAGTAGGGCATAGAAAATTCCTATTTATAGTTTTGAAAAGTGAAGAACCATTGTAATTTTAAAAAGAGACTAAAGTAGTTGACATTCTTGATGTTTTCAGATAGGACTTTTTCTTTTAATAGAAAAAGCATTGCAAGTTGTCTTTCTATATTAATGAAGTAGAAAAAGAAAACCTTTTAAAAGAAGTTAATCCATGAGGTATCTAGTCTACTAAATAGCAGGTTTGAAAAACAAGAAATACGCATGGATCTTTAACAATGTATTTATGGGCAGATTTTTAAGAAGTAATAAGAAATCCAAGGGTGTGGATAGGGCAATTTTTAATTTTTTCCATAAGCTCTTATGCATCTGGCTCCAGCTAACCCACACATAGGTTCTTATCACGTGCTTCATTTAGAGCCTTACTGCCCTATTCCGTTCCATTCCATTCCATTCCATTGGTAGTTTAGGTGAAGTTGTTTGACAGTGCACTGATAGAGTGTACTAAAGGAGAAATGTTTGCTCATTTGGCATAGATTTTGGCTGACTGGTGACTGCCAGTTTAGAGTAGAGCGTAATGTCTGTCCCTTCCTAGTAGAGGTATGCACCTCGTCCTAATTTGGACATAACAGCAATGAGCCAGATGACTCACTGGTCCAAAGTCATCAACAGCTTATGCTGGGGCTGCTTGAGCAGTACTGTCAATTTTGACAAGCAGGCAGGTCTTATCCTATTACCTGTCTGACCATATGTAGCTGTTTTTCTGACTAGGAGAACTGAAACAAAAATTCACATGCACTCATCTGTGAGAGCATTCATGCATTTTGCACAATCTGTTGTTGGTATATTTAATATTTTCAGTACCTACGATAGTGTTTCCATTATTTTTAAGAACAGAAGTGTTGCATTTTGTACAGTATGTTTGACAGCAAAGACGGCTTAGTCCGTAACGGACCTGTTGGAACAAGTCCAGAGAAGGGCCACAAAGATGATGAGGCTGGAGCACCTCTCCTATGGGGACAGGCTGAGAGAGTTGGGGTTGTTCAGCCTGGAGAAGAGAAAGCTCCGGGGAGACCTTCTAGCAGCCTTCCAGTACCTGAAGGGGGCCTGCAAGAAAGCTGGAGATGGACTTTTTACAAGGGCACGTAGTGATAGGACAAGGGGTAATGGCTTTAAACTGAAAGAGGGTAGATTTAGAGTAGATATAAGGAAGAAATTCTTCACTATGAGGGTGGTGAGGCATTGGAACAGGTTGCCCAGAGAAGTTGTGGATGCCCCATCCCTGGAAGTGTTCAAGGCCAGGCTGGAGGGCTTTGAGCAACCTGATCTAGTGGAAGGTGTCTCTTGCCCCATGGCAGGGGGGGGTTGGAACCAGATGATCTTCAAGGTCCCTCAAGCAAACCATTTTATGATTCTATGATAATTTATCAACAAGTGTAGAGCAAATACATTGATCTTTAACTTTAGATAGAAGGCTACAGATCTCCAAGAGACAGCGTTTGGTGTATTTAGTACTCAGTTGTTAGAATCTCCATGTTTTATATATCCTGATGTATTGTCAATGAAGAAAAAGGAATTCCACTAGAAATCAGCTTGCGGTCCTCAAAATACAAATGATTTACTGGTTAATTTAATTGACTCTGTTTTTTGAAATATTTTTAAAATATGTTCATCACACTATATTTTCAGCATATATGGACTAAATTCCTAGTAATATGAGTCACTAGTGAATGGTTTCCTGTTTCTGTACACCATAGACACGGATGATTTTTATGACCTTGTGGTTTCTTTTGTAGGTTGACAGGCTTGAAGCCAAGGTTGTTGAACCTCTGAAAAGTTATGGGACCATAGTGAAACTTAAAAGGGTAAGTTAAACGTCAGTTTTCTCACAATGTACGTTTTGGTGTTATGGCCAATCAGTTGAAAACTTCTACTTTACAGGGGGGAGTGGTTCTGATTTTTCATATTGCAGTAATCAGTCTAATTAAATTATATAGTAATACATCTGAATTGAAGCTATATATATGTTGGAGAAAAAAGCTTTGATGTGAAGACAAGGATAATCAGACTCTTGGAGCACAAGCAAATGCTAAAAAAAGGCATTGTGAATAGTGTGAAACTTCCTAGGTAGTGCAAATCCAGGACGTTTTTCTTTGTAAATAATGGCATTCTTTTCATTATTATTATTATTCAGAGTTCCAAAAGGTGAATTACATGTGTATTGGGTTTCCGTGGCAAGGTTTTGGTAGTGGGGGCGTACGGGGGTGGCTTCTGTGAGAAGCTGCTAGTAGCTTCCCCTGTGTCTAATGGAGCCAATGCCAGCGGGCTCCAAGATGGACCCGCTGGCGGCCCAGGCGAATGACAA